GTAAGGAGTATTTCTCTTGGCTATAAACACATCTGCTTCTGTTTCACTATGAGACTGGATAAATTAGGATTGTTGGGTTTTGCAATACGTACTTTATTTCAAAACATTGCTCCTTTGCGTTAGTAGATCAATATTTTTATGAACACAATAGTCTTCCCTTCTCCCATCCCCGCCCTCGTTTTGAAATTTTTGAACATCCAGTGTTCAAGACGTGCCTGATAAACGATGCCAGCAGCACTTCAAGTATTCCGCAAATGGGAAAACCTTGTGCAGGCTTCCAGGCACACCAACTGTCATCATTTCAGTATCTCTTGCAGTCACTGGACTTTTTTTAACGGCTGTAAGTCAAATGAGGAAACAGTACCCTCTTGTGACTGCTCAGTGAAAGAGACAAAGCAAGAAAATATTTTTTACTACAGCCTGTCGTGTTGGTCAAAACAGGACTGGGCAGAACGTAGATCAGGTGCTATTTAGTAGTATATCTCTGGATGATTTCTAACAGATTTCTACTGGGTGGGCTCTCAGTGGTGGTTATTTCCAGCATCAACTAAAGAGCTATTTGTTTGCCTCCACACCCCCTCCGATTTTCTTGGTGTCAACACTGTCAATCATTTGCGCCCTATTAAGGAATAGTTTTTAATAAACTAATTCATTTTAATCACCAGCTGAAATCATTTTCTGTAAATTATGTCATGTAAGGCTGATGAGATTATCAGCCGTGGTGATTTTTCAGAAATATATATTTCTGAAATACATATAAAATTTTCTCATTATTTCCTGCAATATTTTCTGGGTGTCACAGTTCTTCAGGGAGCACGCTCTATGGGTGTGTAGTTAGACAATGACAGCCAGGAAGCACTGCAACAGGAAATGAGACCTGGAAAGCAGCCTGTAGATCTTGTTCCAGGTGAGGGAAATGCAGGTGCCTGAAGGTGTTGCTCCATGGACTGAAAGTCCCAGGATTCTGCCTGTGGGATTCTGGAAGAAATCACACATCCTTCACTTTTGTGTAGACCTGTCCATTTGCTATTGCTTGTTCATGCAAATTTTTTTCCTATTTTTGTCGCTTTCCCATTATTTGTTCAGTTATCCACTTTTTTATTTTGCATTTCTACTTTTGAGGTTGCTTTCGGTGACACCTCCTAGTGGATAGCTTAGTGAGTCAGGTATCTGGCTGCAGAACCATAGGTTGCGAGTTCAATTCCCCACTGTGCCACCAGGGAGAAGAGGCCGCTTGTGTGGCCTTGAACAAGCTGCACAGTCCCAGGGCACCCCAGAAGAAGAAAAGGGCAAGCGACTTTCTGAGTACACTCTATTGAGGAAAAGCCTGCAATGGGTCATTCTAAATCAGAACTGAATTAATGGCACCCTAGTTTACCAGCAGAAAAAAAATTCCCCAGGAAAAAAAAAGTGCTCCTGAAAGTGTCCAGGACAGCGATTTGCCTTTTAAGTACCTTGTGAGGCTATATCTTGCAGCATTGACAGTGAAATTGGCTCATTTTTTAAAAAAACTGAAATTGGCCTCCTAACTATTTTTGAATTCTTTTTATTGTTGTTACTTCCACATATTTTTAGTAGCCCCTGGTTCCTCTGATGTTACTACTCCTGTTTAGAGCATTTAAATATGACCTATGTGAGCATGCACATAGTTAGCTGGCTGGATAGCTCAGTGAGTTAGGTATCTAGCTGCAGAGCCAGAGGTTGGCAGTTCAATTGGTCACTGTGCCTCCAGGGAAAAGAGGCAGCTTATGTAGCTTTGGGCAAGCTACATAGTCCCAGGATGCCCCCAAAAGAACAGAATGGTAAACCATTCTGGAAAACTCTGGAAAGTCAGAATTGACTTGACAGCTGCTGCTGCAATTTACTGACATCTTCATTTATCTCTTCCTTAACAGCAATGGCCCGAATCCTATTTGGTTACTCCGTGCATGCAACTATACTTGCATGAGTGCTTGGACTTCTTCCAAGCTTGTGCAAGATGGAATCTAAAACCTCCTTATGCAAACACAAGCCCCATTAGCTGCAGCAAGGTGAGAAAGATGGAAATCCTTCAGGGCAATATATTCTGTGATCACAAACAGAATCGTCAGGATAGTGTCCTGGTGTACACAGCTCAATTACTCAAGCCCTATTCAGTCATTAAAGAATCAAGCATCAGCAATACGATTAGAGAGGAGCACCTATCCTTGTCCACATGAGTAATGGCTCAGAAAAGAAAAGGCTCCTGCTTGCTCACATGGAGAGCCTACATCTCAGCAAGAATCTCTCATCTTTAGACTTATGGTAGCTCAAATGGAGAAAGTAATGATGGAAGGCTGAGACTAAGTGCTCTCCTCTATCCATGTTGACATGGATAGAGGATGACTGAACAGGACTTTAGCTTTTAAGTTCTATGTTTTGTTAATATATCTTTCATTAAACATGTATAAAGATAAAGCTATAATCCAATATAATCAATTATACTAATTCTTTAAGCCATCTTTTTTACAAGGTGCCCCCAATTTTACATAAAGGCTGATGGGGTCTTATAAGTCTCCTACTCCAACCCTCAATTCAATGTAAGGATTCCAGAACAGCATCAAGCCCAACACAAGGCATTCTCACCTCTACTTGAAGACTTCCAGTGAGGGACAAAGACTGGTATCCTACCAGGCAATTGGTATCTTTACTGAACTGTTCTTATCCTTATAAAGTGTTCAAATGTATATTCAGCCTCCTTTTACTGAAACCCTTACAGTCAAATTCTGTGCTCTAAGGCAAAAAAGAAGCCTTTTCCTTCTCTCATACAACAGCCCTCCAGAAACCTGAAGAATGTTATCATGTTTGTATCCATACAGTTTTTCTCAGCCAAGCTAAACAATCATAATTTATTGACCATTAGTCAGATGGGTGGTAAAGAAAGTGAATGAACAAATACATTTTAAAAATATAGTAGTTACTATTTGCAGCTTTTAGAAGTATTTATAAAAACTGCAGTGACAAGCACCCTCTAATTTCCCCCGATATTCAAATCAGCAAAATCATGTTGCATAACTTTGCACCCAGCATAACCTAAATGAGACACCAAAAACATTTAATGTGCTTGCTGGTCCTTGACTGTATAAAGTTATCCAATCCATTTAATGTGCACTGATTAAAAGCTTCTTTTCTCCATTTTAGGTTCAAAGATTCCCTACAACTATTTTTGCCCTGGGTATGTTTTTAGGGGCCTTGAGACCTGGGGATGGGTGGGGAGCCTTTAAAAGTTAAAAAAAAATCTGTGCCAGATTATTGCTGCTGCAATCTGGACTGCCACCACCAATCCTAACAAGAATATATCAAGAGATATGGGGAAAAAAAACAATAGCTCACTGTGGTGTTCGCCCGCGTCATGAATATTAATATTCTATCTACATGGACCAAAGAGACTGCTGGAGAGGCAGAGCCACGAGATCTAAGAGTCTCTGCAGGAGAAGGAGGAGATGAGATTGAGAGTTTTAAATTGGAGGACTGGTGGTTTTGGAGTTTGGGGTGGAGAGAGATAGTTGGCAGTTGAGAGTGGATGAAGCAGGATGTTTTGTTAAGAGTTAAAGATATTGATTGTACCTTCATCACCTATAATAATACTGTAAACAACTTCTATTTGGTTTTTAAAATGACACATTGCCTGGACCTCTATTATTAATAATACATAATGCTGATGTAAATCAACTGGTGGCAGCAACACAACAGGTAGCTTGTGCCCTTTGCTTGGTGAAACAACCAAGGGACAGGCAGGGAACGTGACACTCAGACTGGAAATGCTGGATATACATCCCAGTTTCTAAGAAAAGAGATGCCAAGGAGTGCAGTAACTATACAGTAGTTTGTTTTCAACTGCTGTACACTCCCTTGTACCACAGTTCAAAACAAAGCTTTTAATATAGCACTCCTTGGCATCTCCTTTCTTGGGGAGTCAACTTGAGCTGGCTGAATAGCTCAGCAAGTTAGGTATCTGGAGTTCAATTCCCCACTGTGCTTCAAGGGAGAAGAGCTAACCTGTAAAACCTTGGGCATGCTGCATGGTTCCAGGATGCCCCCAGAAGAACATGGTGAACCACTTCTCTCTATATAGAACACACTGAAAAGGGTTGCCATGTTAGCATGGGTTTCAAAGTACACAATTACCAATATATGCAGCCTTGTCTCCCTTTATGGGAAGAAAAGCAGAATATAAATAAACTAAATAAATAAACAAACATAGACCATTGCATTAGTTTCCCATGAAAGCAAAGTGGTGCTCAAGATGTTGTGACCAATACGTTTATATGGAGCGGGAAATGCTTGATACCCAAGCTGGAATCCGGTACATTGGAAGTGATTTTACAACATATAACAGCAATGATCTTCTATCCCTTTTGCCAGTAAAAAAAACCTTGAAATGAATTTGTTGTTGTGAAGATTGTACTGAAGTGTCATTTCACTTCGATCTCGTTTCCCAAGACCGAAACTGCAAAAACTGTTGCTATAACTTTTCCAGCCACATTCAATACTGTATTAGGCTTGTGGAGAAGCAATCAATCCCCAGTGTGTTGAGCGTACTCCTCCTCTTAACCAGGGCGCTTCCCCTACCCACAGCTTGGGCCAAACAACCTGAACGGCTTGCTCTACATGAGGCTACAGTACTTTTAACCCTAAATCCAGCCAAGCAAGACTGTGTGTCCTCTGCGCCGCCAGTATCGTCCTTCCGCCCTAACCTTCCACCAATCCCACTGGCGAAGTTCAAGGGATCGCACTATTGGCAGAAAGCCTTACGAGCCCTCACCCTCACGGCGTTTCTCCCGCCATTAGCTATCTCTCATTGGTAAATATGCAATAAACCCTACTCGCTAGTGGCTGAAATGTGCGAGGGCCCGCCCTCCAGTTTATTTTCCGTGAAGTTTACTTCCCTTCTCCGGCTCAAGCAAATCGAAGGGTTTTCATTGGCTGCGGCTTGAGGAAAGGGGAGGAGCGCGGGGCGTGGCCCACCTAATTGGGTGGATGCCCTCCCTCCTTCCCTCCCCTCATACCCCTGGTTTCAGTGCGGGGTTGCGAAAGATCCCCGAGGGCGCGCGTCATGTGGCCGCTGGTGTTTGGGTTGTTGGTGGGCGTCGCGGGGCGCGTGGAGATCCCCCCGCATGAAGACGTGGCACGCGTGGCTCGCTTCGTGGCGCACTCCTCTGACTGGGGCGCGCTGGCCACGCTCTCGGCGCAAGAGCCGCCGATGCGGGGCCAGCCCTTCGCCAACGTCTTCTCCGTCAGCGACGGGCCGGTGGGCTCCAGAGGCAGCGGGGTGCCCTACATGTACCTGACGGCGCTGGAGATCTCTGTGCAGGACTTGCAGGTGAGCGGGTGGCTCTCCGGGAGGGGCGAGCGGCGCCCAGGCTGTTCCGGCATCCCTGGGGAAGTTTTGCAGTTGAAGGATTTGAACCTGGTGTCCTTTACGTTTAAGCCCAAATGGGATGTTACGTTGGAGAAATGTGAATAAGGCATGATATGTTTGCAATTTACATTTTTAGCGTAATATATATTACCCAGGGAATGTTAGTTTTTAAGTAGTCTGAAAGTATGTAAATAGACAGTTTTTTGAAACTCGGGTAGGGATGGGTGGGGAAATCTGGTGTGAACGAACAGAATAGGGATGGATATCTTGATTTGTTTTGTCCCGCTGTGTTAAATGGGACAGCTCAATTATTTTTCTTTTGCTGCAAGATAACTAGGGTTTGTTCTGTTATTCTCCAAGAGAATTCACCTGTTTGCAAGACTGATATAAATATATTATTTCTGTAAATGTGACATGTTTAAAACTGCTGCTTTGCTGCACGTATTCTTAAAGGAAGAAGCATTGATTGGGTTGTTTGCATCTTTCAGAGATTCACTTTATGTATGTCCTTAACTTCACAAAGTAAAGGGAAAAGATAATAGAGACGTTTTGTGCAAATGGCACAAACCAGAATGAGAAAAAAAGAACTTGTTCCCTTCACTTTGTGCTGGGGATGAGATCTTGTGTATAGGGATACTTGAGAATCCTCAAACAAGACATTAGTGAAAGTGGAGATAATTTATCCCTTTCCCCATGTTGTTTTTCCAATGCAAATCACAAAAACACCCTACTGAAGCTGCTGCTTATCTTATAGGGCAAAACATGTAGCCTATCATTTGTTGTTGTTTAGTTGTTTAGTTGTGTCTGACTCTTCGTGACCCTATGGACCAGAGCACGCCAGGCCCTCCTATCTTCCACTGCCTCCCGGAGTTGTGTCAAATTCATTTTGGTAGCTTCGATGACACTGTCCATCCATCTCGTCCTCTGTCGTCCCCTTCTTCTCTTGCCTTCACACTTTCCTAACATCAAGGCCTTTTCCAAGGAGTCTTCTCATGAGATGGCCGAAGTATTGGAGCCTCAGCTTCAAGATCTGTCCTTCTAGTGAGCACTGAGGGTTGATTTCTTTCAGAATGGATAGGTTTGTTCTCCTTGCAGTCCTTGTAGCCTACCATATATACAGTGGTGCCTCGCTTAACGAGTGCACCGTATAACGATGAATTCGCATAGCGATCTGTTTTTTGGGATCACTAATGCGAAGGCATACCGACGGTCGCAATGGGCAAAACTCGCATTGCGAAGATCGGGGGAACAGCTGATCGGCGGTTCCAAAATGGCCACCGGACGACCCAAAATGGCTGCGTGCAGCGTTTTCGCGCCCTGCCCTCACTTACCGAAGGCGCGAAAATGGCTGCCGCTATGGAGGAACATCGCTGAACGGTGAATTTTGTGCCCATTTGGGTTTCCCCGTTCCGTTTAGCGATGTTTCCCCATAGTGAAGGTTAATCTGGAACGGATTAACCTCGCTATGCGGGGCACCACTGTATATAGTATCTGAATGTTTTACCCTGTAGAATAAATAGCACCTTCTGGGACCAGTTCTTTAAGGGATGGAGTTTAAAACCCCGTGAAACGTCACAATATGATGAATATATTGGGGAAATGTTTCTTCTTAATGTTTTTCTATTCCAGTGCACATGCAGCCCACAGAAAACCTTGTCATGAAGTCTGTTGTACATTCGTCACAAAACCAATAAAGAAGACTTTTGCATTCTTAGTACTTTATACAATCTTGAAAAATGCAGTTTTCTATTTTCGTGGAAAGGCTGCTATACAGTTACATCCAAGCTTAATTGTTTCCAGCCCTACGATACTACTTTGTTAATTTCCCAACAAATGTCTTTTGAGATAAGACTGAGCTAAACTGAATCCAACCTGATTGCTTTTGGAATTATGTGAGATGCTCTCAGGATTGCCAATTTTTATATTGAAGTACAGGGAGTGGAATCTTAACAATCAAGTGACAAGCAATTAACCAAGCAACCAGGGACAAGCAGGCACAATCCAGTGCTAGCATGAATAATAATGATTTGCTAGCAAAAAAAGAAGTGATGTTCATTATAGGGAATGAGTTCTGGCAATGAAGACAAAATTGCATTCAGTTACTATGACTGACTCATTGTTAATGAAACACTAATGATAGTCAAAGTTCCACCAAAATTTCATCCTCTTTTAAGCTGCCACAAATGGATTCCCAAATAACAAATATATTTGCAGGACAGGTAATATATATAAATGGTACAGTCCCTGGGGAAAAAATGTAACCAGGAAAGAGTCTCTTTTCATGTACAGTACTATCACAGGCAGAAGTTTCAAGGTATGTGTAGGGTTTCTCTTCATCAGTAATGCTGTGCATGAAAATTTGCTAAGAGCCAGTGTAGTGACTGTTGAATAGGACTCAAAAGACCTGGATTCAAATCCACATTGGGTTGTGAAAACTCAGTGGTAAATCCACCTCTTCTGTGTCTCAGATACTTCAGTAGCCCTATTGGGGTCACTGTACAAACTCATGTACAAACTCATACATAGTTGGTACAAAGGAGATAAACTTTTGAACAGACTGCAGTGAGATGGCACTGTATAATAAGTTTCAGACTACAATCCTCCCTTCACACTAGATGTCCCATAGTGACAATAATGCAAGCTTCTCTGCCACTGTTTTCCTATGTTTTTCTAATTAATGTATACAAAATGAAATTGTGCATGCTTTGCATCTCTTGTGCCTTCCATTCAGTTGGTGTTCTCACAGTCATCCACATTCCATCATCAACCACAATGACATTCAGTGAGTAACAGTTTCTTCAGAGGAGAAAAAGGCAAAGATCTTGAAATCTTTTTTTTAAACTGAGAAACAATTCTAAAGCTCCTAATCTGAGTGTACTGCAACTGCAGACCTGAGCCTACTGGAAAGGACATTTGTCAGAATTAATATAGGAAAGAGTATCTTCACACAGAAGGCAGAACTTCAGCAGATGCATTCTCCCACACTTGAGTATGATACCTTCTTAGCAAATGGGACTTGCCAGAAGGATTCACAGTTCCTCAGGGCCACATGAATGGGCAGTTTCACTCAGGTGCCTCTGTATAGTAGGATTGGAGCATAGGTATGTTGGTCAAAATCCAGTTGTAGTGCTGGATTGTGTACACTTATCTTTCCAGCCTTGAAATGTAAGTCTTTTGGTATTGGTAGGAGCTCATAATAGCCAGCTGCACTGACTGCCAAATTCCAAACTTCAGGAATGTAGTTTTAAAGTACACACATCTACAAATAAAACATATTTTTCTAACATGAAATTAATGTGCTGTAATAATCTCACAAAAAGGGTCCATTACTGGACATACCAACATCATACACTGTACTTCAACCAAGATTAAGTGCTGTATCTACATATCCTTAGGTGTTTGTAATTCCATTTTGCTTTGAGTTTATTGCTCTAAGGTTGTTGTCATATATGCTTTCAAGTACATATATCCCATTAGCTGCACAGGAAATAATGATCTAATTACACTGCAATGTGACATAATTTGATTGAAGTTATTATGGACAAAAACATTTCTAATCTCTTATTCTGACCTTCATGGAGCTGCAGATTCCCTGCCCTTCTAAAGAATGCAGGAAGTTAATGACAGCCTTAACCTGCATGTTAATAGAGGTTTTGTTCATCTTGTGAAAGCCTTCATACTACTTGGGAGATCAGCTAATATTTCTGCAGTGTCAAAAAACTGAGGAGCAAATAGGCAGAGCTGACTGCAATTCTTGAGATATTAAAATATGTGCAGGCTTCTGTGATTGTGAGATGTCTTCATCCAGCAGCTTGCTACAAAAAGCAGGGTTGGAGGGGGCAGGGACTAACTTGAGAATGATGTCATCTTGTCCATGTAGTGTTGAAAATAATACCTGCTGAGGAGAGATCTGGAAGAGATCTCAAAATTTTACATACATTTTTGTCTTCTTTTTTGCTCTTTTGGTAGTGATTCAATGGACATTAAGACAGGGTGGATTCAATATAAGTCAAATTGATTTAAATCATGATTTAGATAAAAATGATTGTTTTGATTATTTAAATTTTTAAAAATCATTTTTAAAATTTAAATTGTGATTTAATTAGTGATTGAAATTAATTTTATTTTTTAAAAATCATTTATTTTTGTCCACTTTGCATTAGGAATGTTTGCTTTAGAGAGAAGATTGCAATTCATGATGGCATTTGCTGAGTTTTGTATTAAATTTAGTTATGCCCTTTTGTTCATAGGTTATTTGATCCAGCAGATGCATCCATTAATGGAAAGGGAAGGGATTTTTGCCAGCTTCCTCTTTCTCCTGCCAAACAACTACTCACTAAATTTTGTGGGCAGCTTAGGAGACTCTTCTCTCCCCAGTTTGTTCATGGAAATCTGCTGGATCAAATAGTCTTCCATGAATAGAACAAGAGTTTGGGGTGCAATCCATGTGTTTGTGTCCAGACTTCCATAAGTATGAGGCAGGCTATGAATAACATAATTTTTAAAGAAACATTAAATTGTAAGAGGCCCTTGTTGGGAATTTCATTTGCTCAGGCAGATTCCTTCACAGCCTATGAACAGCTTCCCATCTAACAGGAAATAATAGATCCATTTATTTCTACAGTCTGCTCATTGCAACTTTCTTTTATATTTGAAAGGAAGACACGTGGATGCAGACATCTCTAGGCTTGGCCAAGGCTAGCAGTCACACACCTCCCTTGTTTTTGTACGAGGGGGTGCTGATAAGTATTGAGCCTTTCCGAGAAAAAAATTGAGCTAGGAAGCTATAAATTGCCGGGTGTATTGGCCAATTTGTCTGTATTCAATCGTGCAAAAATCAGCTACTTATGATTTTTAACTTATCTTTCATGTTGAGGTCCAAAGTGAACATGACAGCACCTCCAGAAAAGTTCAGTATGAAAGAGCATAGGACCATAATCAGGTTCCTGTTTCACCAAGGTTAAGGTGCAAAGCAGATCCATGATGAAATGTCACAAACTATGGGTGAAAGTGGCCCTTCATATGCAACAAATGTTGGGTTGACAATTTTAAAACTGGCTATTTCGGTATTGAAAGTGAGAAACCCAGTGGAAGGCCTGTTTCTGTCTCTGTGCCTGCAAATGTGAAAGCCACCCATGATAAGATCATGGAGGACCACCGAATATCAGCCAAAAGTATTGCTATATATCTGAGAGCATCACAAGAGAGAGTTGGTGCCATTATCCACAATGACTTGGAAATGAGAAAGCTGGCAGCAAAGTGGATCCCCAAACTTTTGACAACCGAACAAAAGAGGACATGTGTGGAGTCATAGGTGGCTGTTCTGAGTCAAATTCCCTGGGCAAACTGGTAACTGGTAATGAGACATGGATCATCTGTTATGATCCTGAGACAAAGGAACAGTCTAAGGAATGGAGGCACAGGGGTTCCCCCAGGCCGAATAAGTTTTGAGTGCAAAGGTTGGTGCAGAAACAAATGGCAACAGTTTTTTGGGATGAGAAGTTCTGCTGGTGGACTACCTCCAACAGTGTTCAACCATCAATGCAAAATATTACTGTGCTTTATTGTCGAAGTTGAGGCAAAACAAGGAAAAACGTCGAGGCAAAACATCAAGGAAAAACGTCGCACTCTCCAAAGGTGTCATCCAGTTGCATGACAAAGCCTTGTCACACACCGCAAGTGAAACAATGGCAAAACTGACATCCTTAGGCTAAGCGATGCCTCATCCAAACTTTTCTCCCGACCTGGCTCCTTCTGACTATTATCTGTTCCCCAAACTCAAAAAACACCTAAAGGGACAACGATTTGGGAGTGTTCTGGAGGCAACTAATGCTGCAAATGAGTGGTTACACCAGCAGTCGGAAGAATTTTATTTGCAGGGACTTAAGAAGCTACAGGACAGATCTCTCAAGTGCATTGACTTCCTGGGGGAATATTTAGAACAGTGTGTCAGTTACAGCTTCCTAGCTCAGTTTTTTTCTGGGAAAGATTCAATACTTATCAGCACCCCCTCTTATATACATATTGATGCTGTAGAAATGAGGGGTCCCATAGGAACCTACAGGGTTCTTTTCATAATAGACACATATGTTTAGAATGAAAGAAAATAAATAAGCAGTCAAGGTTTCTGAAAGATAATAGCCAAAATTCTGTAGGTTTTCATGGAGGTGCCAGGGTGCAAGCCAAGTGTGCAAATAGAATCAGATTCCTCACTATACAAGTTAAATTGACACAGTACTGCAGCTGTTTTAGAAATAAACATTATATTTGCTGTTCTTTAGGTTTCTAGGTCTATATGCCCCTCTTTTGCTGTAGTCTTCCAGACCACAGGCAACAGTTTCTCTGGTCCAGTGAGTTTTTTAATTTCCTTGCACACTTTTTTTCAAAAATGTTAGTCTTAATATAGAAGTATTGTAGAACCGCCATGGTCCTCCAGGGATTGTTTCCATGCCCCCCTGATGCCAAAAAAGTGCGTATAGAAACACTATGTATATGATGGTCTAGTGGCCCCCTAGTGGCCAGTTTTAGTAATATACCTTGGAAATGTATTTTTTGGGGTTTTTTAAAAAATATTTTCAGGCAGCAGATAAGTTAAATCGTGAGTACCAATCCCGTGGATACTGCAGTTTTATTGTATTGCCTTCCAAGGCAGTCAGTTCCATTGTCAAACAATGTCTGGCAGCAAGAAATACCTCCTGAGAGCAAAATCTTCTTGCTTGCAACTTGAGCCTGTTGGTTTGGGTCCTATGCTCTGGAGGATCAGAAAACAAATTCGTCATCTACATGACAGCCCTTTAGCTATTTGAACACTGTAATCATGTTACCTCATAATCTTCAGGCTAAACGTATCCGATGCCTTTATCATTTCCTCATAGGACTTGTTGTTTTGTTTTGTTGCTTGATTTCATTCCTTCTCAATACATCAGTGATTCAGCACTTGGATGTGAATTTGAACATCTCAGAATGAATTTATTTCCCTACTGTTATCATTTTTCGCAACCAGTAACAACCTAAAGAAACCTTTCAACTTCATGCTGTATCTCAAATTCTAATGTGGTTCCACTGACCGCTTCATTGTGCTTATTCAGTAATTTATTTCTCCTCACTAAGGGGAACAAATATCACAAAAAGTGCAGTGGTGTCTTATCTCTTGCAATACAGAACACAGCTGTATAGTCTCCCATCATGTGGAGACATGTGCTTGCAGATAACGCTAAGTAACCATGAGACAGCATTTTTACATAGTAATATGACTTGTTTTCTACTTTCAGTGCCTTGGGTTGATATTTTACAGATAGGAAATGCTGACTGTTTATTTCATACTTCAGGCATGTGCTTCTGACATTTTATTCCTCTTTGTCCCACTGAAAAATAAATCTGAAGGAATTTCCCAAGAGGGCACTGAACGTATACTTTAGGGCTTATAAAGGGGAGAAAAGACCAGTTCCAACATTGTGTGAGTCTTACAACTTGATTATATGAGAAGGGCTTTTGAATTGCAAAGAAAATTTGTTTTTTACCCACTTTCATCTCCTGATAAATACACTGACTGAAATCCTATTGCTTAGTATAGTATGTTATGTTAGAGTAGACCCACTGAATCAGCTGTGATTGGGTGAGTCATCTCTGTAAGAACTATTGATTCTAACAAGCCTATTTTGATTGCACCATGCTATGCTAAAGTAAGTCACAACTAGAGTAGACCCATTTGAATCAGTGGAACATATGGAGGAGGACTCACCAAATCATGGCTGATTAATAGGCCTACTGTAGTGCAACTTACTATGCCAAGCAACAGGATTTAGGCCATTATTGTCTTACTATGTAGTAACACTGGCATTGGGAGCCATATGAACATGTTTCATATGCCATCATGTTCAGTTAGTGTGGAAAATTTATGACATCCATTTTGGCAATTGTATTTCAGATGAACGCGAATGCATCGTTAACTTTGTCCCTAGCACAGACATCTTACTGCAAGAAGAAAGGGTATGATCCTCAAAGTCCTTTGTGTGCCCACGTAATCTTCTCTGGAGTAGTTGAGAAGGTAAGCCATAATATTTAATATTTAAAATTATGAAGAATACGACACACAGGCTGGCCAGTAGGTTTCATCTCAGTTGTAATCTAGATTTTGGAAGTATTTTTTCCTTATTACATATTTGGCTGGTGGGAAATTAGTAGGAGTTTAGAAACCTGGTGCAGATGACCAGTACAGATGTAAAGTTAGGGTACTTAGGTTTGTTTGTTTTTTGCTTGGCTTTGTTGATCATGGTAAAGAGCTGCAGATGAGTTGCAGCATAAATTTCTTACTGCCTAAATTTACTCATTTTTCTGGATTAGTCCTCATTTTTCTGAGTTAGTTCGTTTGCTGTTCCAAATGGCACATCTTCTTTCTATCCAGGGTAATGATTAATTTAGTTAAGTTGGAAGTGACTCCTTCCTACAGTAGGCCTTTTTGGTGGTGGTGAGTTCTTTTTGAAAATTTTCTTTTCAAAATAACTCAGTTGAACATCTGACTGCATGGGTTTTACACTACATTGCATGCTTAGTTTTAAAGATGCTAGAAAACGTCCTGGCCTAATTTCAGTTGCTAGTGCCAAGAAGAGTAGATTCATTGAATCAAGTACAGTGGTACCTCGCTAAACGATGATCCCGCTAAGCAACGAATCCGCATAATGATGACTTTTTGCGATCGCTATAGCAATTCGCAACACAGTCATTCCTATAGGGGTTTTTCACTGGACGTCAATTAGGTCCGTGCTTCGCAAACCGTTTGTTCGCAAGACAACGATTTTTTCGGCTCGCAAAATGGCTGCCCTGTGTTTTCCGGACCCATGCTTTGCATTTTTACAGCTGATCAGCGCTCGCAAAATGGCTTGCCTATGGGTGATCTTCACTGGACAACGAGGTATTTTCCCCATTGGAACACATTAAATCGGGTTTCAGTGCATTCCAACGGGGAAAGGGTTTTCGCATGATGACAATTTCGCTAAAAAGCAATTTTCACGGGACGGATTATCGTCATGCGGGGCACCACTGTACTGAATGTAAGTCCACATCCAACTGGTTCAGTAGGTCTACTTTAATTGAGACTAAGAATTGAATTTAAACCTTTGTTTTGATGCTTCATTTCAGGATATTCGGATTCAATATGTAATTTTAAATGAAAATATTCTTCATTCAGGATATTTAAATTTGAACAGTTGATATAAAAATTCAAGTTATTGCAAAGGAGGTAGTATCTGTTAGTTACCACGTAGTAAGATAATGGCAGTAAAATCATAGATGTGTTTATTCAGAATTATGTCCCACTGGGTATGTTTATTTAGAAGTATGTTCAGTGGCATTCACTTCCAGATATATGTACAAAGGACTGCAATTTTTGTTATATCATTTCATAGATGAAAACAAATTTGTCATTGCCTTATTTTCTTAGACTGTATTAGAGTGATGACAAGAATTCGAAGAACTTCTGAGGCATATCAATGAAGGCAGTAGCGCTTTCAGCTATGTAAATAGCAGCTTCCCATCTATTTGATACAAAGTGTACTTTCAAACATTGTTAATTATTTTGCAAGTTTGGAAAGAAAACAAAGTCAACAGTTCAGTTGGCCTTGATCTCCTGTGTGCATTGTGATCAGCTTACTTTCTCCCATTGTAAGAGAACTTTCAGACAAACAGAAAATACTATGGTTAACTAATCTGTATGTTAAACTACATAATTTGTTCATTAGGTTCCAAATGGTACAGAAGCAGACTTTGCAAAGACAGCGCTATTTAGTAGACATCCTGAAATGGCTACTTGGCCACCAGATCATAACTGGTTCTTTGCAAAACTCAACATCACCAATGTTTGGGTCCTGGACTACTTTGGTGGAATCAAGACTGTGACCCCAGAAGAATATTTTAATCCTGTTCCTTAGTAAGTGTGCTTTTTAAAATATTGCCTTTGGGATTCTTGTTTTTCTCTTGCTGATGTCCTGGTGCCATAGCAGTTTTCTGAGAGAAAAAGTTTGAATTCTTTGTTCTCACCAGAATGACTCTTGAAGTGATTTGTGCTGCATCCTATTCTCTCCTGCATGTCACTGGGATAAATTGCTGCATATACATGTATATGGTCGTGCTGCTACCTTCATATTTAAGAAAAATCATGTCTTGTGAGGTTTTGTTTCCAATAAACCACTGTGTACATTATTATTAAGTATTATAATGCATTTTATAGAGTTAAAAAGGACAGGTTTCTGCTCAGGGAGCTTACAATGGAGCCTTTGACACACAGATGATGCTAAGGAAGGAGTACAAGGAAGGACAAAGAGATAAAATCCCTGCTCCTTCAGCTATATTTAAATAGGCTTGATTACAGAGGGAGAACTTCTGGTTCATAACCCTAACCCAGATGTGCAAGGTGCAGGCCTGTCACTCATGCTGTTCTCAAAGGCATACCTTCTCCCAAATGGGACAGGAAATGCCTGATGTCTTTATAGAATTTATATCTTTATAGAAACTCGAGGGTATGAAGAGAGGCCAATTTTCAATGTTCCCATTGGAACAATGGGAATTAAAGTAGTTATTTAGTTAGATTGTCTCTATTGTTTTAAAACACCATCCTAAACTTAGGCTGTATTGTCTGTTCAGGTTGGCGGCAGTTCTTTATGGCCTCAGGTGGCAGTCTTTCCTAGCTTTGCAAGCACTGAGCCTTTAACTTGAGGTGCAAAGGTTTGCATCTGAGACTGTTTTCATGTAAAGTATGTGCTCTGCCCCTGAGCAGTGTTCTCTCCATGTGGGACAGAGGCTTGTAGAAAGATGAATGCAAATGTTTAGGCCTTAGTCCTGTGCTAGGGAGGGACGTGGTGGCGCTGTGGGCTAAACTGCAGAAGCCTGTGCTGCAGGGTCAGAAGACCAGCAGTCATAACATCGAATCCACACGAGGGAGTGAGCTCCCATTGCTTTGTCCCAGCTCCTCGCCAACCTAGCAGTTCGAAAGCATGCAAATGCAAGTAGATAAATAGGTACCACCTCAGTGGGAAGGTAAAACAGCGTTCCCTAGTCATGGTGGCCACGTGACAATGGAAACTATCTTCGGACAAGTGCTGGCTCTATGGCTTGAAAACGGGATGAGCACCGCCGTCTAGAGTCAGACACGACTGGACTAAAAAAAGTCAAGGGGAACCTTTACCTTTTACCTGTGCTAGGGAACTTTGAAAGGTCTCAGAGCCAGGTCTCTCAGCCTTGCCATGCCCTACAATATCCACTCAAAAAGAAACCAGAAATAACTGAAGATACATCTAGTTTTAAAAATCCTTTATTTTCTGCACACTGCACCTTAGCTTAAAGGAAAATTGTGCAGCCTTGGGTACAGTTCTCTTCTGACGAAGTATGGGGTGGGTAGAGGTTCTCCTAGGACCAAAAAAGTGTTTGGAGTACGGGACAGCCTTTTAGCCACTCTCATTAGAGTGCCCGAATGCCAATTTAATGTGTTCTTTTGTTTTTGTTTTTTTGTCTTTATAGGTAATGAAGACTTTTGGGTGCTGTGTAATATCTACCTTTTGTAATGTGAAAACATGGACACTGCTAGAACCAATATAACATTGCACAGTAGCAAATCTGCATATTTCCTTAAAATTCTGATGAACTGTATTTGCTTTGTGTGCTTTGTGGGAGGGGGGAGGAAAAATTAGGAACTGATGCCAAGAAAATCAGATTCTGTGGACAAAGTAGTTAGTCTGTGCAAATCTGCCGACACAGCATAATGGCTTCTGCTTGGAGACGTGGGCTTTTGAAAAACATTAACTGTCTCGACAAACTTCCGAAGTGAGAAAATGCATCATGGGCGCATATCCCTAAAATAGAGGTAGAAAAAAAAACCAGAGGAAACGAAAAAGGGAAGACTAAGAGCAAATCTCAAATGACATGATGAAATATCCTGAAATGTTAAACTATAATGTACTTTTGATTCACTGATTTATGTGTAGCACCTTGGGTGATTGCTGTTGTCTGATTTGTGTTGGGTGGTTTACCTGTAATACTGATCCAGCTGGGATGTGTAGATGCACAAAGTGCTACCAGGAAGGCATTAAGGCAGTTTGGTAAAACTGCCACATTCATGTAGAAAAAAGGTGAGATCGGTGTCTGGGTTTAACACCATATGAATGAGTAAGTTGTTTTGTCCATGGCTTACTTCCCTCAAGCACTTCTGATTGTAGTCTTCAGTAGAGCTTACTTCAATAGTATAAAAAGTTGACTGAGGGGAAAAGCTTCTGGAGTACAGACTTACATCCACAGTTCCTTCATATGTTTTTAATTATTAGCTTTGCTTAAACCAGAGGTGGGTGAAATGTAGCTTGTGAGCTGCATGTGGTTCCCAAGCACTTTTTAGTGTCTGAGTTTTAAAAAGTAGATGTTGTGGTTTGTTGCCAAAATTTTGTGACAAACTAAATTGACCACTTACCTCAGTAAGGCTTACTGGAAGTCCTTTTTTGCATGTCTTTATTGACAGAGGAAAACCCTAATCAGCAGGGTTTTGCAAAGGTCTCCCCAGGAGTTCCTGTTCCTGAAATTTCAGGTGTTAATTCAAAGAGGCTTAAGTCTTAAATACTATTTAGAGTGCCTTAATTGTGTATCTGAAAAGCAAAAAAAAAGTTTATTCATAGACTACTGTTCCTGCTTCTATCACAGTAAAGCAAAGGTTCATGGTTTTCCAAGCTGATTTAAGATTATTGTAAATAAATGATTCCCTAAGGAACCAAGTGTCATCTTTAATTAGTTTTGATTAATTTATAATTAAGCCCCAGTGGATTTGGGGAGAAAATGATGAAATACTACAGCAGTAAACTATAATAAAAAATATATATACTAAACTCCACTCTGTGGAGTGTGTAGTCCTTAAGCAGGCCAACAAGGAAAATGGACCTTCACTCCACAGACATTGTCTACTTTAAATGCTAGGGACTGCTGTCACATCTTATTTGGCCCTGATACCATATGACAGAATCACCATCTGTATGCCTTCTTTGTTTCTTCAATTGTAGGCTCTGAAAACTAACGTTGAAAATCCCAGCCAATTCTGGTTTATGTCTATGCTGAGATACTACAGTATCATAAGATAAAATTACCACAAAACCCACAACTGCTAATATGAAAACCACTTGGGGTTTATCAGTTGAATTAATAAACTGGTTGTACTCACATTCTGATCATTAACCAGTTTAAGTGAGAATAGAATTCAAAATTATGGGTGACAACTGGAACTGTTTTGCTGTCAAGTGAAGCCTCATTCATCAACATATTTATGTGAAAATAATTTTTCATCAGCATGTAGAACCAGCTTTTGTACCTCTATAAATGACCAAAATGACATACATACTTTTCCCCTCTTGCAAAACTATGTTTGCACATGGAAAATTTAGCTTCTGGAACCATGGTTGTGTGGAATTAAGTACTTCTGGAACAAATTCTTACCTTTAATTGTTGCTGTTTAGTCATTAAGTCATGTTCGACTCTTCGTGATCCCGTGGACCAGAGCACGCCAGGCCCTTCTGTCTTGCACTGCCTCCTGGAGTTTGAGCAAATTCATGTTGGTAGCTTCAGTGACACTATCCAACCATCTCTTCCTCTGTCATCCCTTTCTCCTCTTGCCTTCACATTTTCCCAACAGCAGGGTCTTTTCCAGGGACTTTTCTCATGAGATGGCCAAAGTATTGGAGCCTCAGTTTCAGGATCTGTCCTTCCAATGATCACTCAGGGTTGATTTCCTTCAAAATGGATAGATTTGTTTTCCTTGCAGTCCAAGGGACTCTCAAGAGTCTCCACTAGCACAACATTTCAAAAGCATCATTTTTTTGGCGTTCAGCCTTTATGGTCCAGCTCTCACTTCCATACATTGCTACTGCAAAAACCATAGCTTTGACTATGTGAACCTTTGTTGGCAAGGTGATGTCTCTGCTTTTTAAGATGCTGTTGAGGTTTGTCATCACTTTCCTCCCAAGAAGCAGGTGTCTTTTAATTCTGTGGCTGTTGTCACCACCTGCAGTAATCATGGAGCCCAAGAAAGTAAAATCTGTCACTGCCTATCCTACATACAGATTTCTCAGGAGATAGAGAAGGTGATCAGGCACTCCCATTTCCTTAAGGACCTGCCATAGTTTGCTGTGGTCCACATAGTCAAAGGCTTTTGTGTAGTCAATGAAGCAGAAGTAAATGTTTTTCTGGAACTCTCTGGCTTTCTCCCTAATCCAGCGCATGTTAGCAATTTGGTCTCTAGTTCCTCTGCCCTTTCAAAATCCAGCTTGTACTTCTGAGATTTCTCGATCCACATACTGCTGAAGCCTACCTTCTAGGATTTTGAGCATAACCTTGCTAGCGTGTGAAATGAGTGGAATTGTACGGTAATTGGAGCATTCTTTGGCACTGCCCTTCTTTGGGATTGGGATGTAGACTGATCTTTTCCAGTCCTCTGGCCACTGTTGAGTTTTCCAAACTTGCTGGCATATTGAATGTAGCACCTTAACAGCGTCATCTTTTAAGATTTTAAATAGTTCAACTGGAATGCCATCACCTCCACTGGTCTTGTTGTTAGCCATGTTTTCTAAGACCCACTTGACTTCACTCTCCAGAATGTCTGGCTCAAGGTCAGCAACCACACTATCTGGGTTGTGCGGGACATCCAAATCTTTCTGGCATAATTCCTTTGTGTATTCTTGCCACCTCTTCTTGATGTCTTCTGCTTCCGTTAAGTCCCTCCCATTTTTTTGTCCTTTATCATGTTCATCTTTGCACAAAATATTCCTTTAATATCTCCGATTTTCCTGAACAGATCTCTGGTTTTTCCTTTTCTATTATTTTCCTCTATTTCTTTGCATTGTTCATTTAAGAAGGCCCTCTTGTCTCTCCTTACTATTCTTTGGAAGTCTGCATTCAATTTT